CTTAGATCGATCAGTTTTTTGGGTGTGGGAATCCAATATGCTTGCAAACTTGAACAGATTCTGTTTCATGGCACCTGGTGGGCATTGCAAGATCTCTTCCGCCACCGTTTCAATACAGACATGTAGTCTTCGTCGCAAAAGGTGTGCACGAATCTTGGGTTTTGACCTCCAAACCCAGGATCAAATCAGGAACAGGCGACCGACTTGTACCTACATTTGCACATGACATTGCTCACATGCACATCGTATGAGGCAAGGCACGTCCCAAGCATACCACGTCCATTAGGATGTGGAGAAATGCCTGGGATCCACACAGGGGTTCAAGTGATCGATCGATGCGAATTGACTTGGAACTATTTGCAATCGAAGCTGCATGAAACTTTGGAACCAAGACCCAAGATAGTCTACCAGACCTAACAAAGACTGTCTATCAACACCCCTCTCAACAAAAGCAGCTGGAAACCCACCTGGTGCTGATGATGGACAAGTGCTTGAAGCATCGCAAATAGGTCATGCCTGCTCTGTTCATAGCAGAAGCTTCCGAAGTAGTCCTCAGACAACTCACTTATAGGGTTGAATTGCAGATTGAACTGTTGATTTCCTCGCACTCGGATTCAATGATCAATATTCTCGACTTTTTTGTTTCCACCGTTCTTTTGCCAACATAGCTATATTTCTCTTCATGACCCGATAGAAAAAATGCACATGCACAGATCAATCTAGTGTATTGAACCTTTCAAAGACTAGAATCGCACTCCGGCCCAGCCCGACCGCTATGGTATGGCGCCAAGCAGCAGGAACCGGGAGGCCATCTCGGACAGGGCGAAATATCGACAGATTCCTCTCCTTAGTTTCGACAGATCCCCTGAAACTCAGTTACCTTCCAAAGATGGATCCCAAAGGACCTTGACTAGCAGGATTGGTTGCAAGGGTTGAGGCATTTGCCCAACAGACTCCTGTTATACAAACATACTTTGCCCAGGCCACCCTTCACATATATTGGCTAAATCGTGTGCACTATGCCCGGGCCCCCCACACGTACCCAAGCACATGCGCACAATGAGCACGCATTGCCTTTTCATATGTACTCACACCGCCGCGGGTAAATGCACTATGCCCCACGTGTAGCCAAGGACACACGCGCACAATGGGAGCATGGCCGATATTCATTGAATTTGCTAGTACTAATGTGGTGGCAGCTCCGATCTAGGTGCCAACACTTGCCATTCGGCGCAGTATACAGGATCAAAGGTAGACCATCCCATCGATGATGGGCGTCTTTGTGTTTGTCTTGTCCGTTTTGAACTTTCTCACCCTCACTTTCCCCACGAAGCCTCAAGTTCTCACTCAAAAGCCGTTTGTTTTCCTCTTGAAGTTCCAGCACCTGCTCCATCAACTTTTCATATTTAGAAGGAAGGAAGGCGTCAGGTCGGCCTCCAGCGCAAATGTTCAAGGCGCGTCGCAGGAAACAAGCGCAGCAAACTAATCCTGTCACTGCCAAAAGCACGATGAGGGTGAACGCCAATTCAAAGAGGTCAAGGGCCATGGCTAGGGTAGGTATCACAATCCCTTTTCGAGATCCTCCACAACTCGTGCCAAAATCACTGCAAACTCATAGAGATCAAGGACATCAGGTCTGACATAACATGGGGATGGGAGGTGAACTGACCGCACATGCAACCAAGGATCAAAGCCGCTTCTGCCAGAGTAGACCGATCATCGCGATTCTGAAAAATAGGGTCGGCATTCACCTAGATGAACGTGTGCAGAAGCCACTGGCACACGACACGGCTGTTATAGCCTTTAGCGTTCAGGTAGAAACCATACGTGGTTGGTCTGATCAAGGAGTTGACTTTGAACCGCTTTTGAGAGCAGGGAATCTTCTCACGCTTCCTCCAGGTCGTGAAAGCCAGAAACGCTGTCTCAACGGCATCTTCGTAGCCCGTCGCAACGGATCCAAAGTATTCCATTTGCAAAAGCATTCCCCTTAGTTACTAACACTACCCTGGGCTACAGTATCAGGCTACATCCAACACCCAGTCCGACCAGAGCAATCTACATAACCGATCTATCGAGATCCATTTCAGCCAAAATGCAAAGCTGATCCATTGGATATCCCGAGTAGCCCGAGATTCAGCACATGTAGCGTGCAATGCTTGAGCATGGAGACTTCGAAGAAAGAAAGCTCCAGCAGCGGGCCTTTGATCAAATGCCCTGACCGCATCAAATCAACCCTGCACTACAACTAGACAGGAAAGTTAACACTAAAGCAACATAAAGTCAAGACGAAGAACAGCACTCATCACCAGGCGGAATCTCGTTTGCAATGAACTGCGCTGTGGTGCGATGAGTTGAAGGCCATCCGATGTTTTGGTTCAAAGTTTCAAAAGGCCAACTGACGTCCTGGTCAGAAGTCTCATCTGCAACTGTGTAACACATAGTGTAGTCCAATTCCGGGATATCGGTGCAGGCCTTGCACCTAAAGCATATCTTTTTGGCAACCCACCAAGATCGGTGATTGAAGAGCTTCCTAACAAACACTTGATCCCCACGAATCTCTGTGAGGAGATAACGGCGGCCATGCAATCCCGTCGAACTCAAACTGTTGAGGGACTCTGTGATGCACCGAAGGATCGGAAAAATTGTTTTTGGAAACGAAGCCACCTCCTCCGAATCCACGCTAAACATCGTGAACCGTGCTAGACGTGTCGATTTTGGCCTCCAGAGCGGAAAGTTTAAGCTCATGCCCAGCACCTGGTTCACCGGGTTGTTCTGAAGGCCTATCTGCGCCTCGTCCCCATAAATCCCAAGTGGGACTACCGGCAAGCCGGCGGCTTGCCTGAAGCCGCGAGTGCTCAAAGCCAGAGCGTCTTGCACCGCCTCTAAATGAGACCAATACTGGCAAATGCGACAGTTACTGATCGGCAGGTGGCATTCTGACACCAAATACTGCACCAGCTGATGTGGAAGAATCACCGGTACTACCTTCTCACCATCTTTACCATTAGGCATCGTTGCAATGACGGTCACATTGACTGGCTCCTTAGACAAGTGAACGGCATCACATACATGTGACCACTCCAGCTTTCAAGACAAAACAGGGAACCCAACACTCAATATTGCAATAGCACAATTTAAATATAAGTCATGTAAGGGTCCAATGGCAACTTCGTGTTGCGTAAAAAATCACGGGCTGCATTTCTGCCTCGGTACGCTGCTAGCCTTTGTGTCCAGGCTGAAGTGAAGCCCTTCGATTCCTCAATGATGCTTCATGGGACGTTTTAAGGCCAAACTTCTGCATGCAAATACTTTCACAGCCCAAAATTCCAAGCAGTAACTTGGCTGAGATTCTGCATGGGCTGCTCTGGCAGATCTCATAGCTGATTGAGCACTAGACTCCTGATCAGCCATGGTGCATCCATCACCGGAAGTACCCTTGACCACAAAAAGTTCATAACCAGGAAATCCAACCGTCTCGCCCATTGGACCGAGTCTCTCCAGAAGCCACTCGTTCGACAAGGTCTTTTTCCAGCGGGCTGGCCGAATTGTCATCAGTACCTCCACCAAGTGTGCAAACGCAATGCTCACCGTTGACAAATCAAATGTGCTGCAAAATTCCAATTCCGGCAAATGTTCAATTCAAAAGTTTCATTTGATCGCAAGCAAGCCCTTTGACTTCTAGAGCTTATCGAGGTTCTTTGTTTGCAGTGCGCTTACTGCATGTGGGGTCCGCACAAAATAATCAAAACCTGTACGCGCATGCGCAGATCAGTTACGAAACCCTGCAACCTCCTTGGGCTGCTCCCATGGTAACTTTGCACATGCGCACGTGAATCTCTGGGCTACAAAGCCCCTGCCCCGCCAAAGACATGGATTATACCTTTCTTTAAAGTGACACCCTAGCTTGAGAGAAGGACATACATTACATTTGACTAAGCAAAGGCAGGGGCAAGGTTTCAGGTGGAAAACTGCAAAGATTTAAGCGGCCTTTGCCTTTGCTCTGGGTTTCTTAAGCTTCAAAGGCTCACAGGCTTTCTCCAGCTCCTTCTTCGCCGAATTGCATGAATCGATGGTCGATTGGTTCACCTGACAACTCAATTGATTTGAACAAGCTTGAAAACTCCATGAGCTTGATGGAAGTCTTGAACTGCCATGTTTTCACATGCCACATGCATGCAGGCCTGTCCAGCATCAACTTCCATTTGCATAGACGTACGGGCCGCCTGCATGGGTGCATATTGAGGAATTTTGAAATTGGAATATAGATCGATCCCTAATACAGAATATACAAAGCGGAAAGTGATGAAGTGCAGACAGACCCTTGCACAGCTCGAGTTGAACTACACAAGAACTACGGAGAGGATGGATAACCGGTACCAAGCCTCGCATTGTTTCTTCTTCACGTTGTAATCCGCCTCCACTGACTTGGCAAAGTTGTCACTCCTGGGCCGGATCGAGGCAGACCATCCCTCAACAATTCGCAAATGCAACAACTTGGCAACAACAACATTGAGGTGATTACAAATTTGACAGGTTCGTCTTGATCAGATCGCAGGCCCACTTGATCTTGTTGCTCAATTCACCCACAGCCTGCCACACTCAATAATGTTACGAGTAGCAAGTGAACTATGCTATCACTTGCGAGCCTTCTTCCCCTCTCGAAGGATTTTATCAGCTTCTTCTCTCTCAAGTCTAGCTTGCATCTCCTCTGGTGTCTAGTTGAGCTCAGCTTCATTCTGTTTATTCTTTTTTTCCTTCTTTTCCTTCTTCTCCTTCTTATTCTTCTTGTCTTTGTCCGCCTGTGCAAATATTATTTGGAAATGCGGAACAAACAAGTCACATGTTAGTCCACCCCGTGACATTAGCCCACCCCGTGACAGTAGCATACCCACGTGACGCACAGGCCTTTGCAGCTTTTGTTTTTGCTTTCACTTGTCTCTTTGGAGCAGGCTTCTCGTCAGCACTCGAATCTGAGCTGGCGGAGTCTTGGGAATCAAGGGCTTCAAAAAGCCTCTCCACTTCCTCACACTTCTCTTCACTCTCTTCATCCTCTATGAGGCATAAGAACTGCCGAAACTCCTGCCGCGATGGAATCAATGTATATTAATATACGCGCGGGTACAAGCAAGGTATATATCACACACCGAGAGCACACATAGTATGTACCTGTCAAAAGTCTAGCTGCTAGTGCTGTCAACCCCCCAATCCCAATCCTCTTTGTGCGGCAATTCTGGGTGATACCTCACCTCCTTTTCAAAAAGGGTGGCATCGTTCAATTTGTTCTCTCTCATAGCAGCGGCCACTGGCTCAGTGAAACGCTCCACCATCTCGTGGAAAAGGAGCCACCTCCGCGTCCCTCGACAGCGCTTGCTTGAACGCTCTTTGACAGACAAGTAGAACTTGCTTGTGTCACATTGACCATCGCCGCAACTGGCCCACGCGTCAAACAAGACACTGTTCAAGCTCGAACCTGCAGATGAACTTGAAAAATTGTTACTAGTGTAATTTGAAACAGTTTACATGCATGCAAGCGAAAGCAAAAATATCAAAGCGTTAATAATGTCATTCGGGCTGCTTCCATGGGCTCTCTTCCCCATGAGTCTCAATTCTGGTGGTGTTGATGGGTCTTAGTGACGTGACAGTTGCATATATATATATATCAGGACAGGAATGTCGCACATAGCAAAACACTCTGGTGGAGTCTTAGGGCAAGACTCCTGATGCTCCTGAAGTACCTCATGTAACGTGCATGAGCTGCACGTCGACGCCGCTCCTTCTCTTCTAGCTTCGAGGCCAGGTCATCCTGATCCTGGCTAGCGATATCGCCAGGGTTTGCAGGATCAGGTGTCACCTTGGAACTCCCATCATGAACTTGTTTCTTCAATTCTTCTGCGCGCTTCATCAATGCCTCAATCTCCTCTTGTTTGTTCTTTCTAGCCTTCTCTTCCTCAGCCTTTCTTCCAGCCTCCTCTACTTGCTTCTCCTTTGCTGCCTTCTTCTGTGCCTCGTCTTCCGCGGCCTTTCTCACTTCCT